TAACTGTCGAGAGGTAGTGTACCTGTGTTGCGGTCGCGCCATCTTTTGCTGTCCCGTGCACATGTATTTGTATCATATACTGTCTGCATGCTGACCACTGCCTTACATGCAAGTCATTGATCTTACCGTTACTTTATATCCACAACCGCGCTACGCCTTGTTTCTGAGGTGGTCATTCTAATTCGGACAATACTCATGAGAGAACGTCCAAACAGTCGAGATTGGTATTCAGTGCCTGGAATGTCTAGCTATTTGTTATAATCGCCATTCGGGAACATTAAAAGTGACAAGTTAGTGTGCTGGGTAATGTGAGTGCGGGTCGTGAGTCAATTATTGTGTGTTGTCTGTAATGGTCATTTTCATAATTGAATTTTTCAATTATCTATGGGAACTGCGTTGATCGTCGTGATTGATGTAATCCCAATAACATACTATTTTGAAAAGCTGTCGTTTCGTGAAATACCAATTACACACTTCGTTTCTATTTTACACTTCGTTTCTATTTTTCACTATAAAAATGTATTAGTTTTAGTGAGATTTGAAACCGGAGTGATTCTATCTGGATTTGCAAACGGAGTCTCGTCGGTGAAGCGAACACGCTCACGCTTTTGGAACATCTGGTCTTTTGTCCCTTGTTGTTTCAAGAGCGCTATGAATATCTTTCCTTGTTCATGTTTAGCCGCAGTTCTATGGACTTTTAGTTCGTATACCGGTTCAGTTTTCATTTCAGTTGTGTTATTATGTTTTTGGAAAGCAGGGTAGGTAAATCAAGGAAAGTCTGATACTAGAAACAGGAACTGGTCCAAGTAATATCGAAATAATTGGGGATAGTCACTTCAATACACAAGGAGACAATCATGTTAATATTGACGGAAGCTAATATAATCAATTATGGAACAGATGTTGTGATCTGCTGATTGCCGAGAAAGATTATCATTTGTGTTGTACTTTAGGTAAAGGTCAGGGTATACAATTGATAGGTTTACATGATGTCTTTAATTTAAAATTAAAGATATGAGAAGCAAGTGGTTATCTTAGTTATTTTTGTTCATAGACGACGCATCGTAAATAGATCTGAATTTGTGATTTAGAAATCGGATAAGATACTCATTGGAATCCTATAAAGTATTTACCCTCGTATAAATTCAGCTCAAAATTCGGAATTACATTTCTCGTATTCGGCTTCTTCGCTATTTCTTGCCGGAATGTGTGTTGTTCTACATAATTCGGAGATAAAGAGATCAATCCAGAGATGCTTGTTATGCAGACAGAGTTCTGGCTGCAGGTTGCCTAATACTTTCTTGAAAAGGCTTGCTGACATTTTATGAAAAGTTGATGTTTTTCTTTTTTGCAGCTCTTCTATCGTTTTAACTTGTATCCGGGCTTCTACTATTAACGTCAAAATCTACTACATGTAACTACAAACTACATAATCTACCATCTAACTACAAAACTTTGCAACTGTTAGCTTCAAATCTTCCAATTTCATTATATAACATCTACACCATTAAATTTTGAATGCATTATTTACTAAAGAGCAACTTCAAAATTGGCCACACATGTATACACTGTATCAGCTACAAAAAGTGCCAAAACACTTTGTTGTCATTTCCAAGTTTAGAAAGGAAAACTCCATTTACAGTTTACAGACACTTATTAATGGATCATAAGTGTTACATGAGAATATTTAATACTTTGATGTCTTCCATGCAGATATCGTGTTTGATTTGTTCAAACAATGATATCACTTTAGCTATAGAGATTGCTTCCTAAGGTCAGTGTTATTTTTCACTAGTTTATAGTACATCTGGGGATCCTGTTCTGAATGTCATATCCACGACCACCGACCCCCAGTTAACGTACCTTTAATGTGTATTTGGCATTACCAAAGGCCTCCAGAAGAATCCCTGTGGGCAGTTTAACGATGAGAGGAAAGATAGAGAACAAATTGATAATAAAACCTGATCTAAATGGATATTAAACTGGTTCTTTATTTCTATATATATTTTTAGTATTAACTGAGGCAGGTGTGTTAATCAGTTAGGATTTTAAAGATGTAACTAGATTGGGGTTAGGAATAACTCATAATACACATTATAATATATTTTAAATAACGATATGATAGGTTCACGAATAGATACTTGTTCATTTAAAAAAAAAAAAAAAAAAAAAAACACCCATAAATTGCACGATTGAAAAAGAAAATGTGTGTACTCGATAAAAATTTGTTGGTGTTGACAAATCGCGATAAAATGTTTAAAATATAGAGGTTGAGACGGAAATAAGTAACTAAACGATTGGTAAATAAGGGTACGTTTTTCGCCGACACTCGTTTAGTCGTATCTCTTGCTCTATATTTACCAGTCAACAAGATGTTTTATGAAAAATTGCTCCATATCATTTATAATCACAGGGTGAACCATAGTTATATAATCTAAAAGCAAATATACCAAACAGCTTCAGAATCTCATGTCACACTCAGGTTTTTTTTAACGATTTTAAAATTTAATTCAACATTCAACTAATTTGAATATTGAACTGTTTTGAATTTGCTTTAACTACTTACTTGACGAAGGCATGTACATTGAAGCGCAAGACCTATCTGAATTTGGTAGAGATATATGATCGCAATGCCGTACAATGGAAACTGCAGTATTACATTAACTGCGATATTTCACAAGACTAGTCAGTATGGTGATGAAATGATGAGAGAGTTGAAGTGCGTTTAATTGAAAGGTGAAATAGTATGTACCGCTAATATGATAATCTTTGTCGTTTATCGTTACAGATAATTTGAGAAATTATTACCGTCAGAGACTAAATTAATATTTTCATTTAAATCGTTGGTATGTATATAAACAGTCAATAAGTCAGAAGTAGCTTGCTTGCACTTGTACATTCTAGTTCAGCATGTTTTTGTTTAAATGAAGCTGCACTCAGCTGATGTCTTTATCCACTTAGCTGATGTCTGTATCCTTAAGAATTTCCTGGTAGATGAAAGGATGCCGCCAACATATTTATTGTCAGCGCATTATAGATAACAGCTAATCGTGACAGAGATGGTCGTGGGAAGGGATTGTAATCTGCAAAAGTGTCGTTAGTCATAGCTCAAGTAATACATTAGTTTACTGCTGACACCCACTATCTATATTATGTTCTATTTAACGCTATATGTATACGTATGGTACCACTGATACCGTAGACGTATTCTTTAATGCATTTTCAATATTAAGGAAAAGCTTTATACATAATTTTGTTAATTTACAAAGTTTGTCTCGAATAGCGCATATACTACACGTAGTTATTCCACTTTTACTTGTGTTTGTTGATCCGTCTCATAATCAAAGTAAAATTATTACGAAATTTCAAAAAGTATAGAAACCTTGCGTATGACGGCATATTATGTCAACATTTGTAAAAAGAGCATTGTGTACTTCATTTTATTTTGAACAAAATAAGGTGTTATTAGTAACGTTTTAAATAGTATTGACGTTCATGAAATTAGCATACTTGCTGTTGCCTCAGGCAAAGATTCTGACATTTTGTATTGCTTATTCTCGAACCTCAGACAGTGATATCCCATCTGATACCCAGTGCTAGAGTTTTCAATCTTGTCTTAACTATCTGGCACCTTTGCAAGTCATTTCGGGGAAATTTACCACAGCAATGTATTCATCCGGCCGATATTGCAAGTGATACACTCGTAAACTTAGTATTCTGTTTTGTCGCAACATGTATTGTTTTGATGTATTTAGATACTTAATATCGTAAATATGATATAATATACATGTTGGAATATGTTATGGTCCTTGTAAGCGCAAGGACTGACTATATTGTCTACGCGGAAGCATTCAAACGCAGCTTTAGTAGTGAAGAGGCCATATATTACGGCCTTCCGGACGGGATACTTAAAGACTATAGTGAAATTGGGTAGTTTTACGAACTAAAAGGTGCGACAAAAAGCAACGAATTGCAACTGAGCGAGTTATCGGGCTTAGTTTCTGCAGGTTTGGGCTGTTACCGATCCTAGTCCTATACTGAGATAACCCGATCCTGCTCAGTTGCACAGTTACAGCTAACATATTTTATCACACAGTCATGGTGATCCAGTTTTTTCTTTATAACATTTTGTTAGTGTGTAGGAGGGGGGGGGGGGGGGGGGAGGCATTCTTGCAACAGCCAGGGTCATATGAAGAGGTGTGCTTAAGGAGACACCGCCAATGAGAGAGAGTAAAATAATCCATTCTGCAGGGGGACACATTAGTCGCCTCTTCCGATACACATGCAGTGGGATAAGGCCGGTCTATTATTGTTTTCTTTAATGTTTCCAAACCAGAAGAAACGGAGGAAACTGGTTACATATATCATTCTTCATGAAAATGGAGTCTGTAGTATAATTACCTCTTATTCATTACAATGACTTCGTGGTAGTTATAACCTGTAAAGTTAGATAATGATAATTTTGTTTTATCAGTATTAAAATAGCTATGCTGCAATTCTCTGTATGATACCACGGGACAGGTCTTACTATGTAGAGACCGCTACCGACAATGTTAGGATGTATGCTCTCAAGGCAGTGGTATGCAAGAGAACACATCTATAGATCGATCGGTACGCCCAGGCATCATATATCAAACGTAATTCATTCTGAAAAGGGGGCGGTTGTATACTAAGATCTGCCTCTCCGAGATAACATACACCAGACTTTACTTCTGAATGAACACACACATTGATTTAGTACAGGTTTTCAACTTCATTAAGTTAGTATACGTTTCTTTAAAAACAATGTATCTGCTGCATCTCATTTCAGTTAGTTCCCTGTAGTATGAAACAAGGAAAATATTGCACAAGCGAGAGTATGATATTGGTCTGACATAAGATCTTAGGATATATATCTGTTTTACAGAACGTATACAGCAAAGCCGACTCGCGCAATACGCCATTTGGCCGAACATTAATTGTATCCGTAGATAGGGCATTACATATAGATTTTTTTCCACCATAGTTTATTTTTGGACAAAAATTTGGTTAATTGTCAAACTAGGAAATTAGCGTCATTACGTTGCAGAGAATAATCGTCCGGTGTGTCTGGAAGGAAACAATCTATCCAATACATACAGAACGCGGCGGCAGTCTTAAAGAAAACATGTTTACTGCTCATTTAACGTCAGGTTGGCTTATTGTGATAAGGATCAAACTACTCTCAGACATAATACTTCTTCGAAAAGTCTAAATTACACGTGTAGATGCGCATTCAGTGATGTGCGTGATTTGTATTCGGCTCACTATAGAAGATTGATCACAGCTCCGCGACACACCTCTTTCTGACAGTCCTGTGAGGCGACGGATCCCTTCATGTCTGAGTGTGTCCAGTTCCTGTAACAAACATCACTGACCTGTGGTCATGGCGGATTATAACAGGACCGAGGAAGCGTTTCATGACAACTTCACTAATTACTCATACGAGGATTATTATATCTATCCGACTATCCAACAGCCTATGTATATGGTTGCCATATTATCACTAATGTTCGGGTTGATCTTTGTGCTGTCCCTAGTAGGTAACTGTCTCGTGATAGCCGTCGTGTTCAGAAACAAAGGAATGAGGAACATCACTAACTACTTCATTGTCAATTTGGCCACTGCTGACATTTTGGTGGCTATCTTCTGTGTTCCCATGACTTTGCTTGACAACATCTACACAGGTAAGTCGTAAACCAACCTGTTCTAAAATATTTCCTGTGGGTATTAAAAGGGCAGTATGATATACTTTAATTCAATGTTTCATCTAGAATATGATTTGTTTCGTTTTGTCATAAAATGATTTTCTATTTGAAATGACACCCCAATTCATTTTGTTATCAACGATGAGATTACATATCAGCATCTTTTCTTCAGGTAAGGACTATTATTTATTACATTTTTGCCAGTGAAATACGGATTCTATCAACTTGATCTGATGCCTTTCATACTGTGGCAAATATCAAAAGTGATGTTTTCACAGTGTGAAAATATCACTTTTTGGTATTGACCATTCATAACGGTATCTTCTATTCGCTGCATTCAAAGGCAACGATTTTTTGTTCAGATTCAAATGAAGCGACAGTAGAATAAGTGGTTGCTATTGTAAAAGTTTGGCAATCACATATAAGTATTTACATAAATATACAATTTATAACAGTTGTGTAAGCAATCATACCAGGAAATAGCAGAAAACGTCGGAATTGCGTTGAGTATTCCATTCAAAATGGCGCACAAGTTGTTGTCAAGTGTGACGTCATTATAATATGGCGCTAATAATTATGCTTTTTTAATGCATTACATTTTCGTGTGTTTTATGATTTAAAAATGTAATAAATATAAAACTTAATGGTGTCTTCAGTAATAACAAATATATTTCACGAGTGTGGCTAAAATTTCGTTTTTTTTACAAGAGTGCGCAGCACGAGTGAAAAATATCAAAATATTAGCCACAAATATTATCAAAATATTAGCCACACTAGTGACGCCATTGAATACATTCTTGTTTAGCATGCAGCCAAAACTGAACTACACACATTTAATAGGTTATTGCTAATGAACATGAATCGTGTCAAACACAAGCTCATTCTCTATAGAATTCATTTCATTCCACATTCATTATGGTTTTTGACATCAGATTAATTGTGCTGTTTCTGGAACCATAATTAGCACTGCTCAGTGAAGTTGTTTTTGGATTTCCAGTTCATGCAGAGAGAAAGTGGAATGATATTTGTACACGAAAATACAAATCCATTTGTTAGCTCTTTATATGAAGCTTGATAAGATTACTGTTATTTGGAACCCGTATCATGACGACATTGATAAGATAACTGTTATTTGGAACCCGTATCATGACGACATTGATAAGATGACTGTTATTTGGAACCCGTATCATGACGACATTGATAAGATTACTGTTATTTGGAACCCGTATCATGACGACATTGATAAGATTACTGTTATTTGGAACCCGTATCATGACGACATTGATAAGATGACTGTTATTTGGAACCCGTATCATGACGACATTGATAAGATGACTGTTATTTGGAACCCGTATCATGACGACATTGATAAGATGACTGTTATTTGGAACCCGTATCATGACGACATTGATAAGATGACTGTTATTTGGAACCCGTATCATGACGACATTGATAAGATTACTGTTATTTGGAACCCGTATCATGACGACATTGATAAGATTACTGTTATTTGGAACCCGTATCATGACGACATTGATAAGATGACTGTTATTTGGAACCCGTATCATGACGACATTGATAAGATGACTGTTATTTGGAACCCGTATCATGACGACATTGATAAGATTACTGTTATTTGGAACCCGTATCATGACGACATTGATAAGATTACTGTTATTTGGAACCCGTATTATGACGACATTGATAAGATTACTGTTATTTGGAATCCGTATCATGACGACATTGAAAACATACGTCGCTTACCGCTTAAGGGTATTCCGTTTAATTAAATGTAGTATATGTCACTCCTGCCGTTAATAAAAGGACTAATTAGATTTAGAATAACTTTTTGTTATTTGGATTGATTACGGAGCAAAACCGACACATCGCGTTACGTCATAGAAACAGTTATATGAGGTTATAGACGTCCATATGATGACGTTACAGATAAACCGATATCTAAGAATAATGATATGGTTGCTCAAAATGTGTTTGTTAACTTCTTTAAGTATTTTATTTAACTGTTTTAGGAAGGTAGATTTAGGATTGTGCAAATGAACACTATAAAGTAATTACTTTGAGTTTAAGGGTATGTACATGCAATTGATAGAACTAAAAGTGAGATAATTTCTGTAATCAGGCATCTGATACATATTTGAATGTCTAGGTTGGCAAGTTAAAGAATGTCAAAGACTATTTTCCTAACCAAGGTTGTACAGGCTGACGAAGTTTCTAACAATAGCTTTGCCAAAACAATTCGATTTGTTGGACGGTGTTCGTATAATTCACACTTTCTAGAGACGACACATAGACCACGCGCAGGCAGGTATTCGAATTATGGTGTCTGAAATCATACTCTAATATAGAATAATCTTTTCTACGCTGTACCCTTAAATGGCAAAAGATAACCTATAACATAATGCTTACCAGAATTCCCCACATGCTGACTATAACCATTTTCTTACTCCTGGCTGTTACACTTTTCACAGTAAAAGGTGGACACCAAAAATAGTTTTCTTTTCAAAGTGTACATCTTTTATTATGCCAATTCTAAGCCACGTATTTCTGTTCCAAAAACATAACAGGTCATTGATGATAGAACATTTCAACAGACTTTCTGTATGGGGACTAATTGTGTTCCACTTCTAGCCGTCCTATTTTGTATTAATTTGTAATCTATACAGAGCACATCAAAGTACAGAGATAGGACTCTCGCCCGATCTGTTCATTTCACGCTAACTTGTCTCTAATAACTATAATTTTGAGAACTTCTTGTCGTTACACCAACGACTCACCTTATATCTTGACATTTTCCCAAAGTATATAATCTGATCATAAAACCTAAAAATATACGATCGTTAATTCCCTTTTCCTGAGTAATAACACGTCAATTGATTTTCCACCTAAGAAAATAATCATTATTTTCCTGACTATAACGTGTGCTGTTTTTACAAATAAATAAGGTTTTAAGATATGAAAACTGTAGAAACGTTGCAGTGGTCATCATGAATGTCTTTTTAATTATTAAGGTTTGGTTTAGTTTCATGGTTAACTTCATATATGCGTCATATACCAAATCAACTACCTAAGAAGGGCTTCGATCTACACCACTCAATGTCTTGAATTTCAATTAGAAAACGCCAGGGTGTCAGTGACTTAACAATAGGAAAACGTCAGGGCGTCAATGACGTTTCAATAAGAAAACGCCAGGGTGTCAGTGGCTTAACAATAGGAAAACGTCAGGGCGTCAGTGGCGTAACAATAGGAAAACATCGGGCGTCAGCGACGTTACAATAGCTATTGCATGTTGGCATTTTAACACTTAATTCTGTTCTCTGATAAGTTTGGGATTAAAATAACAAAATAAGCTATTTGCTACAGAAAACAAACTTATTTCGGTGTAAATTTTATATTTTACAGGTTAAGATGTTATAAGATATTTCATTTATTATAAACGACTCCCTTAACACAATAATTATAAAGCTGCTTACTATCCGTGAATCTTTAGAAGGTATGCACCATGCATACTGGTATTTACGTCTGTTTGATGTACCAGGCCCCTCTTTGTGAGAGGAGGACCTTGGTTTGGCAGCACTCTCACACAAACACTATTGATTGATGTCATTATCTTTATGATTCACTGTGTTCTCATAAAGATTTTAATCTATGTGTGTTCCGTCTTGTCTACAACATACAGACATGCAAGATATTGCTGGTGTATTTATGAACTGATTGTGTTGAATACTAAACTATGTCGTACAGTGTGTTTATAGAAAAGTTTCGGAAATATGAAAACTCAAATGAAATCAGTATACGTATGCATTTATCCTAAAAAACGGTTAGACCTGGTCATATCTATAGCTCAAAATCAGATGCATGCTAAACTGTGTTATTTTTTATTTGAAATTCAATTATGAATTTGTGAATAAAAATGGGAAAAGTATTTTCTCTCAAAATTAGCTTGTTGTAGATATATCAGCACATCGTAAGCTTGTTTGATGACAAGGTGTTGCTTTCAAAAGCGGATATGTTCCCTTGAAAATGATACATTTCGATATACATCGCATATTACATTTTTCAAATGACGCATGGGGCAACTCTTATCACCTAATCATAATTACGTGGCAATTCGTTAATATCAAAATTTGTAATGAAGATTTAACCTTTTTTGGCACCGCAATGTTGCCCTACAATGTGATATTAGTGACCCTCTTTAGTAAATTAGAGAGTAACCATGTGGAATTCTAAGGCAATGCTTTCTAAACAGTCTAGTCCCGAAGGTGCAATAAAACCACTTAAAGTTATCTATGTGTCTAGATCGTCTACCGACACAATTTACAGGGACAGTTATTATATCATCACCATCTTTAAAACCACATCACAGCCAGGGCAACACATGTTGTTTTAAAGATGCATTGGTAGACAAATAGGGATAATGAGTATTCGTGAAATGTAAAATCAATATATCTCAAAATCAATACTCTTTAGATAAGATTTAGGATCTGTTTGAAAAGGTATGAGATTGTAAATGAGACAACAATACACCAAAGCGTCAGGATATCAAAATAAACATGAAACGACATCAATAATAAGACAGGTAGCCGGGGGAACACCAAAACACATCATGGAACCTCACTGCATATATTGTTCGAATACTTTTCATGTATCGCATAGGGTATCTTTTAAAATGTTTTCTATCAAATACGGCAACGACTGGCAACGTCCTAAGATGAGATTAACGTATATTTAATCTTGGCAAACATTTCAATCCTAAAATTGGAAGTCAGATTATGGTTACTTCCGTAACATTTATTCAGTGCTCATTGATGTTTAAATATCAATAGTACTGTGTTTCGTGAACTTTGGTAATCAAACCGATATTGTACAGAATCAAAACACCGTTCATCACGGACAACCAAAAGACCAGCAAACTGATTAAAACATTTACATATTGCATAGGTTTAAGGATGGCTTCTGAT